AATTTGATTATAAGTCCAACTTGTTAACAATGTTTTATATTTCTCCATTTTCTGTATTTCTTATTTTTAGGTTTTAAATTTAAACAAAATTATTCTGCTCTAAATGAAAAATTAAACTTTTGATTCAGTCAACCACTGTAACAATTATCCTAGCATCCCTTATATCAAGTCACTCTTCCCCCTCCAAAGTTAGAATCTATTTATCATCACTAATGCTGACTTTTAAAAATTCGTATTGTTCTACTAAAATAAACACAATGTGTATATAGGAGACTTTTAATTAGGTTCTCCAAACAGAATATACTTGTTTAACCTGCATTTCTTCATACCCTCTTCCAGTCATTGCCTTTATCAAGGGTGACCACTCTTTTGATTCTTTTTCTTTAAATTTTATTTAGTTATTTTTCAAGTACAGTTTTTTGTCTATTTCTCCCATCCCAGCACCCGCCCTGCCCTGTGCTCCCCACCTCCCTCCCATTTCCACCCCTCTTAGTTCTCGTCCCTGTGTCCTTCCTATTTGTTCCTCCAAATCCCTCCCCTTTTTCCCCCTTAAATTCCCTTCCCTCTCCCCTCTGGTCACTGTCCCTGATTCTTGATGCCACTAAGTAGTTTTGCCTTTTGGTGAATTTTATATAAATGAAATTATATGGTATTTCACTTTTATGTTTCATTTTTTGTGAAATGTCACATTTATGACATATAAATTGGTGCTTGTATTTATAGATTGTTTGATTTCATTGCAATATAGCATTCCATTATGGGAATGTACCACATCCATTCTAGAGCTAATGGACACACGGGGAGTTTCTATGTTTTGGATATTAGGAATATTGTTGCTATAGACATTCTGGTATGTGTATTTTGGTGACATATGTGTGCATTTCTGTTGGTAATCAAGAGTAGATCTATTGGGTCAAAGGGTATGTATCTATTCAGATACTACCAAAAAGTTTTCAAAGTGTTTACATTAATTTACAATTCACAGTGTTTAAAAATTCTGGTTGTTCCATATGCATATTGCCACAACATTTTTTGTCTTATTTATTTTAGAAAATCTGGTAGGTGTGAAATTATAACTCACTGTGATTTCACTTTGCATTTTTCTTGTGACTAGTTATATTAATACCTTCTCATGTTTATCAATCATCTCCATATCTTTTTTGTGATATGTGTTCACAAAATATTTTAAAATTTTCTATATTTAGAATATTTTAAAAATTGTGTTGACTTTTTTCTTATTCATTTATAAATTTGTATATTAGTTATTGAATAGATGCATTGCAAATATCTTTAAATCCTGTCAGCTGCGTTTGCCATGTCCTAAAGATGTGTTAGTGACCTAAGTTTATAATTTTAATATGCTCCCATTTATCTTTTAAAAAATATGGTTAGCAATTTCTTTAAAAATTTAACTTCAATGTCAGGAGGAAAATTTCCTGTGTTTTCTTAAAAACTCTATTGATTTACCTTTCACATTTTAATCTTCAATTTGAAATTGCTTTGTCTGGGTATGGGTATATATTCATTCCTGCTTTCATGTCTCATTCAGCACCGTTTTTATAAAAGACCTTACCTTTCCCAATATAGCATTACTGTTCAATGTTACCTTTTTCATAAAGCAGTTTACTATCAATATTTGGGTCTATTTCTGGATTTCATTTTGTTCCATTGGTCATTTTGTCTATTCTTGCACCAACAGTATGCTGTCTTAATTACTTTACCTTTAAAATAGGTCTCTGTATTTGGTTATATTGGCCTGCTAGCTGTGTTCTTACTCAGGATAGCCCCAGCTCTTCCCACCCTTTGAAATTTCATAGGTAATATAAATTCAGCAACACATTTTCTTGCTAGAATTTTGATTGCTATTGAGTTGAAGTTATATTTTATATTTGGAACAATAGAAATGTTTATAATATTTAGTCATGTTACTCATGTATTTCTCCATTTATTTCAGTATTTCTTTATTTTTTTCGAATATGCTCCATAGTTTTCAGTGTAGAGGTTTTGCATATCTTTCATATTTATTTAGAAAATTTTAATGTTTCTGATGCTGTTGTAAATGGCATCATATTTAAATTTTGTTTATTGCTGGTTTACAAAGTGATAATTGATTTCTTTATTATCTTGTGTTCAGCAATCTTATTTAATAAAAAAATAAAAAGAATAAATATGCATATTTATTCTACTATATTATTTATAAATTCTTTTGGATTTTTGTGCACACAACTGGATTGTTGATGAATAAGTACAGTTATATTTCTTCCTTTATAGTTCTTACATCTCTTATTTCCTTTTCTTGCCTTGTTATGTTGACTAGGACCACCAATAGTATAGCAATGAATACAAATGGTATTAACAGAAATTTTTCCTTCAGTTTTCTACTCTAAGTGAAAGTTTTAATATTTCATCATTGAGAACAATGGCGCTTCACTTTCATTTCCATATTTTTTTATGAGATTATAGTTTGCTGACTGTTTTTTAACATATTAAAGTTTGTCAAAGGCTATTTCTGTTGTCTAATCACATGGGTTTATTTCTTTTCTTTGCTAATATGACAATAATATTGATTTTTGTTTTTTGAATATTACACTACTCTCACATACCTGGAGAAAGCCCATTTAGTTTGATATATTTCTCTCTCTCTGTCTTTCTCTCTCAATCTCTTTTCCTGTCTCCTCCTGCAGACATACATGCTCTTATCATGTTAAGGTTTTTTGTATCTATGTTCATGTAAGAGGTTTATATCTAATTTTCTTTCCTTGCAGTGTCTTTGTTAGTTTTAGAATTAATGATACACTGGCTTCTTAAACAGAGTTAGGACAGAGTTAGGGATTGTTTCCTATTTTTTTGTGGACCCTTCCAAACAACAGATTCTATTTTCTTAATACATGTCAGATGATTTTGTTTTTTTTAACTTATTCCTCTGTCATATTTCAAAGATTATATTTTCTTAAGAATTTTTTATTTCATAAAATTGTAAATTTGGTAGCATATAGTTCTTCACTATATATTTTTGCCATTCATAAAATATTTTGTGACTTCCTATTTTTGATTTCTGATGTTGATAATTTGCAGCATTTTATCTTTTTTTCCTTGATCAGTTTTTCTAGGAGGTTTCCTATTTCATGAAACTTTTCAAAGAAACAATGTTTGGTTTGGTTGAATTGTTTTGCTGTTCATTTTTTTTTCTATTTCACTTATTTGCCCTATTCTCTTCATTATTTATTTCCTTTTAATGTCCTTAGAAGTTATTTTCTATTCATTTTCAGGCTTATAGGAATTAAAGCTTAGCTCATTGATTTCTTGCCTTACCTTTTTTAAAATTATGTTTTATTGATTATGCTATTATAATTATCCCAATTTTCCCCCTTTACCCCCCTCCACCCAGCAACTTCTATTCCCTCAGACAATCCCCATACCATTGTTCATGTCCATTGGTCATACTTGTAAGTTCTTTGGCTACTCAATTTCCTATACTGTACTTTACATCACAATGGCTATTTGTTCAAGACTATAAATTTCCTTTTTTCCTTCTTACCTTAATTTCTAAGCAGGAGCCTTTTTCTTACCCAGTTAACATAATTTCTACTTTTTTGTGAATTTCTGATTTGACCAATGTATTACTTAGAGTTTTTTTTTATAGGTGGTTGGGTTTAGTGTTATCTTTATTATTTTAGTTATATTTAAATATTTTCATTTATAACTTGCATGCACTAAGGTATGAATATCATAAATGAATAGTTTGATAAATATATATTACCTATTCTTGTACATAATACAAATGAATTCATGTAATATACTTAGTTTTTGGTGTCTGGCTTCTTTTATTCAATATAATGTTTTTGAAGTTTATGTATTTGGATGGATGGATAGATGAATGTATGGATGTTACTATTTATTTCTGAGTAGTATTATATTATATTATATGAATATATGGTGCTACTGTTGATTGATATTTGAATTTCTCTGGGGATGTTATGATAATCTAGATTTTTGTATGGATCTTTTAGTGGACATAATGCATTTCTACTGACATTATACCCAGAAGTTTTCAGGATGTGTCATAGGATAGGCAAATATTTGGTTTCAGGAGGAGTTGCTAAATAGTTTTCTAAATGGTTGAACCAATTTATACTCCTGCTAGGGATGAATAAGAGTTCAAGTTGTTCAGTAAACTCCCCAATACTTGACATTGTCAGTCCTCTTAATTTTAGCTCTTCTGGTAGGTGTATGGAGATATCTCACTGTGATTTTAATTTGTATTTATCCAATTAATTACTATGCTTTTACCTTTTGATATGCATATTAGCCTCTTGAATATATTTTTAAAGTGTTGTTCAAGTCTTGTGCCCACTTATTAACTGAGTTGTTTTTCTTTTTTTTAAAGTTCACTCTTCATTTCTTTTGGTCTGTTTTTCTACCCTTGCACCAAATTAATGTTGTCTTATTACTGTATCTGTCTAGAAGGTCCTAGAATCTTACAATTTAAATCCTTGAATTTTATTCTTCTTTAATATCGCTCTGGCTAGTCTATGTACTTTGAATTTATATATAAACTATATTATAACTGGTTTTATTCTATTTTATTTTCCAACTAGTTATTGCAACTGTATAGAAATGCCACTGGCTTTTTTCCTCAAAAAACATTATTATTTCCATTTTTTTAATTTTATTTAGTTATTTTTCAAGTACAGTTTTTTGTCTATTTTTCCCATCCCAGCCTCCCCCGCCCCTTGCTCCCCACCTCCCTCCCATTTCTACCCCCCTTAGTTCTCGTCCCTGTGTCCTTCCTATTTGTTCCGCCAAATCCCTCCCCCTTTTTCCCCTTAACTTCCCTTCCTTCTCCCCTCTGGTCACTATCCCCTTGTTCTCTATTTCCATTTGGTCCAATGCATGGGAGAGGATTCCAGGGTGGGGTTCCAGGGATAGGCTCAGGCAAAAGCCAGATAACATGGAAATGCAGAGGGGCCCCTCAAAGTCTTCTGGCCTCCAAAGGTTTCTTAATCATGCTTGATGGTTAGCCTTTTGAAGAGACACTCCCCCATCTCAGCTTGGGGGCTGGCCAGCCTCCAGATGTTAGTCAGGTGGTCACCCATCTTCTTGAGGAGCTTCATCTCCTCATCCAAGAAGAGGTTCTCCAGGAAGTCACAGGGATGAGGCTCTGTGTGGGTGGAACCCAGGGCAGGCAGATCCAAAAGGGCCTGTTTCAGGTTTTTCTCCAAGGCCAAGCCTGCTTCCATGGCATCCTGGCTTTCACTCCACTCATCTTGGGAAGGCTCTGCCACATTCTGGAGAAGAATGTGGCCCCTACACCAGTTTTGCAGCTTTAAGAGATGCTCAGAGCCCTCACACTTCTTCTCAGCTAACTCTTGGAAGAAGTGGCCCACACCCTGCAGAGCCATATGGTCATCATAAAAATAGAATCCCAGAGAGAGGTAAGTGTAGTGAGCCCACAGATGCAGGTTGGCCGGGCGGTTAATGGCAGCCTCCCCGCCAGAATAATTCTGAAAAATTTGGAACCTCATGGTTGTTTGACAATGAAGAATTAAGGTTAAAAAAATGGTGTTGGCTGGTCTTGGAGGCTGAGGATGGCTGAGGTGGTTTTGAAGGTGGTGACTAGAAATGAGGACAGAGGGTAGGTGGAAAGAAGAGGCATCCCTAGGTCTGTTCAGTCCAAACCCTATTGAAGCAAGAAAAGGCCCCAGGACCACCAAGGGCACTGTCCCACTGGCTTTTGTATATTGACCTTGAATCAATAACCTTGCTAAATTAACCTGATTATTGATCAAGTTTGTTTTATCTTTTATTTAATGCTTTATGTCCACAATCATGTCATATGTGGGAAAAAAGATGGTTTTACAACTCTTTCCAATACATTGTAAACTTCTTTTAAATTTTGTCTAGAACTTATTTTTATAATGATGAACAGAAGTGGTGATAGCTAATATACCTTTTTGCTTTCTTACTATAGAGGACAAATAGTCATATTTCACTATTGAATATGACATTCTTTCAAGTTTTTTTAGATATTGTTTTTTCAGAGGTTTTAGAAGTATCCTATAGTCTTGTCTTCCAGCTTAATAATTCTTTTGTTTTAGAGATTTTATTTATCTATTTATAGAGAAAGGGGAAGGGAGGGAGAAAGAGAGGAAGAGAAACATCAATGTGTCAGAGATACATTGATTGGTTGCCTCTATCACACCCCTCGCTGGGGACCTGGCCCACAACCCAGGCATGTGCCCTGACTGGGGTTTAAACTGTCTGCATTTTGGTTTACAGACCAGCACTCAATCCACTGAGCCACACCAGCCAGGGCTAATAATTCTTCATTTGATTTTATCTACCAGTTTGATAACCTCATATGTTCTTTCTTCAGTTCCAAAATTTCATTTGATTAATTTTAAAGCTATTTTTTGGTTAAATTCCTCATACAGTCATCTATTCTATCCATGTTTTCTTTCATATCTGAATTTATTAATGACAGTTAACTAAATTACTTGATAATCACAATATCTGAATCTTTTTCACATCTGCTTCTTAGCTTTTGTTTTGCATATTTCTACTCTTGATCATTGTTTATATTTTTTCCTTGCCACTTTGTTTGTCTAATATTTTTATAGTATTTTGGACACAGCGTATAATATAATCATAAGGCCTCTATCCAGATGGTGGTATTTTCTACCAGAACTGTCCAACCCCTACTTTTTTTTGCTTAGATGAATAGGATGAGAGCCTGACCACAGCAATCCAATCAGGGGTAAAGTTCTTTGGGAATAAGCAGTTTCAATAAAACTCAGTCCATGTCTGGATCCATGTCTGGACTTTTGATTGAGAGACTGTTGGGTATGTGCCTTGAAAGACGATGGTAGGAGTCAAATTCTGTCCTTCAGAGATTACTAATTTAATATTTTTTGTGGTCAGAGAAAAATTCTTTGCATGATTCAGATGCCTATGAATTTGTTGAGATTTTTTTCATAGCCAATAATATGATCCATCTTGGTGAATGTTCCATGTGAATTTAAAAGAAAATGTGAATTCTTCTCTTGCTGAACAGTGTTTTGTAGCTTAATTAGGCCAAGGTGGTGGTAATGTTAATGTCATTTGTATTCATCATGATTTTTCATTTGCTTATTCTAGATATTACTAAAAAATTATTTAGATTTTCAAGTTTAATTGTGATTTGTCTATTTCACCTTAGATTCTATCAATTTTTGGTTCATGTATTTAATACTCTGTTGTTAGGCGCACAAATATTTAACATTATGTAATCTTCATAGTTTCTTTTTCTTAATGCTTCTTTATTTCTGGTTCTGAAATCTACTTTGCCTGATATTAATATAGCCACAATGGGTTGCTTTTGATTGATACTTGTACTGTACATATTTTCCCATCCTTTTACACTTAATCTGTTTTTCTACTTAAAGTGAAATTTGCTATAGATGCTACATAGTTGGGTTTTCATTTTTTATTCAATCTGAATATCTCTACTTTAACTCGGATATTTAGACCAGTTTCATTTATTATACATATTAATAATATTGGATTTGGGTATACTATCTTACTGTATATTTTGTTTTTTATCTCTTGTTTTTTGTCCCATTATTCTCCTATCCCTATTGTTTTTGGATTGAGTAGTTCTCTATTATTCTATTCTAATTTCAACATTGCCATTTAGTTATACCTCTGAAAAATTTTTATGTTTTATTCATGTTTAGAATATACTTTTTAATTTTTTGCCATTAAATATTATGACAACCATTTATTATGTAATAACCTTATAGTAGTATATTTTAAGTTTCTTTCTCTAATCATTTGTACCATTGCAGTTATATGTTTCACTTCTTCATATGTAATGAACCCCCAAATATATTTAACTATTTATACCTTAGCATATAACATCTTTTAAAGTTGTTAATATAATAAATAATGTTTAAATTTGGTAGTAAAAATGAAATATCATCTGTTTTCATTTATTTTTATTTGAGGTATCATTGACTAAGACATTTTTCCTTATTCTTGAAGAATATTTTCTTATTCTTTCCTTATTCTTCTTCTCTATAATACAATCTGTTTTGTGAGATTTTAAGAAATATTCCAATCTAATGAGAATTTAGTGTTTAAATTATTTTAGAAATGTATATTTTGTTTTTTTCCTAGGAATTTCATATGTATATTAGCACTTGAAGGAGGTTCTGCAGTGAAGTAACATTGTTTAATTTGCTTAAACCAAGATTGACAAACCACATTTGACCCTAAAAAGCTTTTCTCCATCATTATAAATACTTAGTCTTCTATAGAACTTATTTTGAAGATTAATGTTACAGAATATACAAAAGGTTTTTTATTTATATTGTTCATAAGTTCAGAAAGGTTAAATGATTTATTATATTTTATTCAATCATCCTTTCACACACACATCCTTAGAAATAAATTGAATGGCTACGGTGTGCCAGACATTGTAATTCACATAAATAATAGTAAAGTTGATTCCTGAATACAAATTTTCTGGCTTCAAAATCAGTACTCTTTCTACTATGCTTTCTCTATGGGATTATTTATACAATTAGTACTATAGAAATGTATTTATATAATGTCAGTTATTTCTAAGACAATATAGCATGAAATATAAAATCCAAACTTAGCTTTTGTTTTGTTCCAGGATCCTGAGTGAATTCCCTGCCCCTCAGAGCAGTTTTCTACCTTCACATCCTAAATGTAACTCTGAATGCACCACAACACAGTCTCTGGGTGCCAATCAATAAAAGATGAGGTTCAGACATGCATTTTAAAATAGAGACAGTTATATAGTTTTTCCCTTTAATAAGCTTCATTCAATTTATTATTTATTTATTTATTTATATTAAAACATTACATGGTAGCCATGTAGTCTTTTGTGTCTGGCTCTTCTTACTCCACATAATATCTTTGAGATTTATCCAAGTTGCTACCTTACATTTAATACCAATAGGACTTCAGTTTCTCAATCTATGCAATGAAAGGGTTGGGCTGGATGAACTCTAAAGGATTTTTGAGTTGTGACAATAAGTGAGACACTCTTCCCACTGATTTGCAAGAATTAAAATGCAGGAATTCTGACCTGTGTCGGTTGTCATGATACCACAACAATACTGGGAATGACAGTTTTGAATGTGTAATCCTGTGACAGCATTGACATTGCACATCTGAGCCGGAAACAATTCTATGAACCTGTATTCTCTCTCAGGATGCCCTCACTGATGTCTGCTTCTCAGAGGCAGCATTCTTCCTGTGTGAATTACTAACTCGAATTGCTCATATTACAATTCAAAAAGCCATCGGTTAACCGGCTTAACATAGGACTTGTGAAAAGCACCACACCATGTGTGTGGTGCTTAAGTAGCTCATGGTGTTAGGAAAACTCATATTCAAATCTCCTAACAATGTGACCTTGGGCTTCATGTCTACCTATGTGACCCTGGGCAAGTCAGTCTCAGACGCCCCAAGTCTGACCTGGAAGCGGAGATAATGATAGCTACCTCACAGGATTGTTATGAAGAACCAGACGAGGTAATGCATGCAAAGTGCTCGGAGTGCCTGGAATATGGGTAGTGCTTTGTCACAGATAGCTGTTCCTGCTGTCACTTCTTGTCAGCAGTGCGTCATCCAGTGGCCCTGTGACTGCAATGTCTCATTGAGATTCCCTTTCTCTGCCAATCCTGTTTGTTTGCCTTTGCTGGGACAAATGTGGGTAGAAGCAGTGAGGAGAGAATAGCCACTGAATTTTTAATCAGCCCCATGTAAAGGGAAACTTTCAGCAGTGAATGGAGTGGGCCAGTTCAGTGAGAAGGACAGTAGGGCTCTAGGGGATGGAAAACGGGTTCTGACAACTTCGTTAGCCATAGAACATTTCCTTAGCTGATGGTAGTAACTAAATCCCTTTGGAATAAACAAAATAGTGATTTTAAAGTGTGTGTTCTTTATTGAAGACTTGTTGTACCACTTACTCTCAAATTCCTCCAGCTCATCAAGAGGAATTTCCTTATGTGTGAAAGCACTATAACATGCAAATTAAGAAGGGCTGGGTCTGATGAATCCGGTTTGAGTCCCAATGTTGCCATTAACAGTATCTGTAAAATATCAAACAAGTTAATTTCTCTACTCATTGGCTTTCTGATCTGTAAAATGCCTTGTTAGTTGTTATGAAGATTGGTTAAGTTTAGAACACTTTTGATAGTGCCTGGCATAGTAATAAGTCTGCAAATGTTAGCTCCTAGTCACAAATTGGTATAATGATACCATACCTAGGTCTTTAGGTTGTTAAGGGTCTTTACATGAGTGTAGGTCAGTTAAATGACTGATACACATTTCAATGATAATTCAGATAAATATAGTAACTTATACAAAGGATGGCTGGAAACTCGATATTAGAAATTTGGGGAAAAATACAAATCTTTAGCACCAAATTTAATGCATTTATTACTTTTTAAATGGAAGTATAAAGATAATTAAATGGAAAGTCTTATACTTACAATTTATAAGATTTGTG